AAATTTTTCAATAATTTTTTTTAATTTTTTCAATTCAATTAGTTTTTTTAATTTTTTTCTCATTTCATTCGCCTATACAGCAGTCTCCAACATGAACCCTTTTCTAAAGTGAGAAATAATGTTGAAAGAAGAACAGAGAGATAGGTCAATAAATTTTGCTGGTAGCGCAAAAATCAAAAGAATCCATGGGGGCATTGGCACATCGTGTCTGCGTGCGTTGTGATCCTAACCCATTTGTAGATCCTCTTTACATTCTAGGGTTTTACTTTTTTCACATGCTCATTCAATGCAAATAATTGATCTGCAAACCTGCCACATAACGTTTTATTGAATCCGAGTTTCAATTTAAATTATAGAAGATATTAATTAAATTCAACTTGATTAATAAATTTATTGACTTAATTAAATTCAATTTTAATTTAATCTGGTTAATACTAAAAAACATTTTAAAAAATAAAATAAGATGTTTTTAATTAAAAAAATATTGATTTAAATGGATCGAATAATACTGTATGATAACATGGCTAATTACTGAACAACTTTACTTTTGCATGCCAGAGGTTGTGCTTAATGACGCAGATGGTTCACTGAACCTCGAAAAGCCTCTCTATAAAATGTCTTCTTTTTTGAACCTTGGAGTTTCCATGGAGTATGTGAAATGGCAAGCTTCTTGCTCCCTTCTAACCTATCTCAGTTGCTATGCCTTTTGGGGTGTCTCGATATTCATGGAAAACGATATGTTTTCAAAATTGTATGAGAATAGCAGGCAAGGATGTATAGTTTATTACTCAAAAAATTATGAAAAATATAGAAAAATGTTATAGAAAAATTTAGAGTTTCTATGAGTATAAATTTATATGTAAAATAAAAATTTATAATAAATATATTTCCAACATAAATATAGTAATACAATTCTGGCATGCATCCTAATCGTATATTAAGACTTAAAATTAATATCAAATCAAAGTGTTTTTTACATATTATTTATTTGGTGTAAGTAGGATGTATGCAACAAATCTCTTAAAATTTTAATAATAACACTTTAGTTTAGATATATTTTTAAACAAAATCTTTAAACCATAGTAAAATAATTCGATTATCTTCCAATAAAATGAACTTATGCTTTAGCATTGGAAGAAAAAACAAGGAATGAAAAGAGAAGGAAAACATTAAAATGAGGTGAGGAAAAATGTGTAAAAAATAAAAAACAAATTCTTGAAAACTCTTTTTTCACCTCTTTTTTTATGGTGGATTTTAGAAGCTAAAATATTAAAGAATTAATTTTTATAATAATCAAAATTAATTCTAATAATTATGAATTTTTTATTAGCTACCATAAATGAAAAAAATAAACCTGAATATTTTGGCTATAAATTTGAATTTTTGAGCTAGAAATATTGTTTTGCAAAAATGCTTCTAAAAAAGACAATTAAACTTTTGTAACTCAAAATATTATTTTATAATAAATATAAACTTTTTTTCTTTTATTTTTTTGAGGTGGGGTTGCAAGAAATGTATGATTTTTACCACTACCTACATTCCATGAAATTGTGCACCACAAATGACAGTTAATAAACAGACTGGCGAGCCCATAGAAAGACATCACAATCCCTTGTAGAAAAAAAATGATTTGTTGAGATGGGAATAAAGATATCAAATTTCTGTCAAGATAACTGGAAATTCCAATCAATAAAAATCCAAATGAACCTAAAAAAAGTATAATGGCCTAGTAGAAATTACTTAATTTTTGAGACCCTGTTATAAGTTCTATCCATATACGTTATATATGTTTTGATCGCCAACTCATACTAGATCTAGTTGCATTTTATTGGAAGTGGAAGACCGGCCAAAATGAATTTTACTTTATATTTTTTTGCTTCCAAAGGAACTTTCATCAACTTGCACTATTCTGATGTGAATCTTTCGAAGCAATTCGTTAGATGTAAAAGTAAAATAATAGGAGCCCCCACATATGATTCCCTATCTACACATACTACACACATATAGCTACATGGGCTTTGCATTTATTTCAGGCATCCGCACCAATCGCGACTTATTTTCAACAAATAGCTCATTTACTTATATATCATATTTACATTTATGTTTGTCCTTTCTTTTCTGTTTGAAAAAAGCCACAGGTTATACCATGATCTCTTGGTCCTCCGCAGGCGCTTGTGGATTCAGGGGCACAAGAAGAAGGACGCCATTTGTTGCTCAAACTACAGCAGGAAATGCTATTTAAATCATAATGGATCAAGGTATGCAACGAGCAGAAGTCATGATAAAAGGTCCTGGTCTAGGAAGAGATGCGGCATTAAGAGCTATTCGCAGAAATGGTATACTATTAAGTTTCGTCCAGGATGTAACCCCTATGCCACATAATGGTTGCAGGCCTCCTAAAAAAAGACATGTGTAAGAATAAACATTGAAGAAATTTTAAAAGAAATAAATAATTCAATGATTTGATAAAAAGAAGGAAAGAATATTATTATGGTTCGAGAGAAAGTAAGAATATCTACTCGGACACTACAATGAAAGTGTGTTGAATCAAGAGCTGACAATAAGCGTCTTTATTATGGACGTTTTATTCTGTCTTTACTTATAAAAGGTCAAGCCGACATAATAAGCATTGCGATGCGAAGAGCTTTGCTTGGAGTGTTAATAGGTTGAAATGTATGATTTTTGGATTTAAATGTGATTTATAGGAAGAAATTACTTTTTTATTTTAATTATAAAACTGATTGATTAAACCTTTATTTATTTCTTTTTAATGTATTAGAGCATGAAAGTTAGTTTTATTAATTTCTTTAATTAAATTCTTAAGATTTTAGTTATTGGTAAGCTGATTTCTTTCTATGGAAGGGTAATTCACCTTATATAATTAATATAAGGTGAGTAACACGATCAAAAGATTGATATCTTCTTTCAAGTGCAAAAGTATCGAAGTAATAAATAACCTGATAAGATCGGGGTCGAACCATAGAGAAATTAACTATATAAATTACAAATAATAATAATAATAATAATAAGATGACTTTGAGATATAAGATTAATGTGAGGATTAAACAATAATAAAAACAAATATCAAGGTTAAAGGATCCACTAATAGTTTTAAAAATAAATGTAATATAAACCTTTTTTATTACTTAATTGGAAACCACACACAAACAAGGTTTCAATCAGATGATTTGTCATTAATAGCTCATTATGAATTGTTAACATGATCATATTAATTATCTTATTTAAGTAACACCAAACTTTTAAATATTGTCAGGAATTCATGATGCTAACTTATGTTGATAAAAAATCAAGTTCCTTTCATTTATTGTACCAAGTGTTATACAACACAAATCTAGATTAACCATTTAACAAGCAAAGTATTAAGAATTAATGAGATAAAAATCATAAAACATGTTAATAGTAGTTGTTTATGATATAAGCATTGAAGTCCATATTAAGTTTATATTATACTTATCCTAACACTATTAGTGAAATATTTCTGCCTTAATATGATAAATTTAGCTAAACATAATGAAGAAGAGAAACATAAATAAACAAGAGGAGAACATGATTCTATAAGTATAACAAAAGAAATGAAAGACATAAACAAGAGATTAATGAAATTATAACATGAAATAAAACTTGAACATTACAACAATATAAAAAAAGAAATAAAAAGCATAATCTTGATATGAAAATCAAGATATCTAAATGTATAGCAAATTCCTCCTCTTATCAGCTAAAATTTAGAATTATTGATTTCATAACTAATTATTGAGTAAGTGCACCTCTTGACTTGGTAACAACCCTTATCTTCTTGTCTGAACAAAACATCATTACTAACATTATAATTTGAATAGATGGTTTTCATGAAAGTTCTAAGAATTTTTCTTAGCTTTCTAACAAAAAAACAATGAGCTCATTTGGACTTCTAGAACTCGAGATATGGGCTGAAAACTGAATAATGTCTAGGCTGTAGGACAAATTCGAACTTCTCTTTTGATGCTAAGATTTGGACTTCCAAACGGCAAAATTGAGTCTTGAACTCTCATGAATGTTTTAGGCCCATGTTTTAGCTTTCTATCTATATAAACCAAACCGAAATCCAAGATATAGCTTCAGATATGACCTAATACCTAAATGGTATTCCAGTTTGAATTAAATTAACATCTTTTTTTCTAAACGTAGCCCTTTCCTTGTCCTTTTACTTTCAATAGTTAAACAAATCAATCAATTCATTGAATTGTAAAACATGTCTATATTTAAAATGAATATTTACAATAAATTAAAGGTATCTTATATTATTAGATATATTATTATAAAACATGTTCTAGTTAAGGAGTTATTAATACTTCAAATGCAAAATAATAATATAAAACCTTGATAAAAATACACTTTTAAATACTAACAGGTGAGGATAATGAGATGATAGATTTTCTCTATCATACGCAAATAAAGGTGAAAACATCTCAAGTCTTTTTAAAAATGGCAATTGCTAATGTGGGAAAGGATTTCACTCACCCAAACAACACCTAATTGTAAAGGTGATTATTTTTTGTTCGGTGCGGTTTTTATCTAAAAAAATAACAAAGATAAATTTTTTTAAAAAAATAAAAAATTCAAATCAAAACTTAACTGGAACTGGTTCAAACCAGTCAGTTTCAGTTTGGTTCAATTTAGTTTTTTACTATAAAAAACAGAAAAAACTTGTATTTTTTGTTAAGACTTTTTGATGGGCTTGTAATTGATGTTAATATTATCTAATTTTGTTACTAGATTCTATAAATATTTAATTTTTTTTGTCAATGAATATTTATTTATATTAAATTATTAGTGTTAATATTGTGTTCATATGTTGCAAGTCTTTTTAATAGTTGTGTTTTGGACTCCTCTTGTATCAGAGTTTAAATAATACACACACCAAGTTAAAATCTAAATTACAAAGCATTGCTTTTAAAATGGCTTAAAAAGAAATAAAAAGTAACTTTGTCATAAAAAAATAAAAAACTTCATGCAAAAAATATAAATGAAAAATCTTCATTGTACACATCATCTCAATCGAAATGCACATCAAGTTGACAAAAACATTGCACTTTGATTCCTTAATACAATTGACATCAAAACATGGAATTTAAGATCTAAAATTATAATATGATAAAATAAATTAGAAAATATAAATAAAAAATAGTATTTTACCATCAAACTAACTTTTGAACTAATTATCATCCATTGTTAGATGTAACTTTCCACCAAATTCTACAAAATAAAAAGTTAGACATGTTAGATGATTGCAAATGCTTTAATTAATAAATCACAAAATAAAATATGCAAGTTTACAAAAAAAGTTATTTGACTCAAGATTTTCGTATATTTCGAAATCATTTATCAAGCTTCTAATATTAGTTGAAATTGATTCATAATGCAACTAATTTTGACAACAAATAAGTGCTTTAATAGTTGCTGGAGATAGAGAACTTCGAAATTGATCGAGTATACGACCACATGTGCTAAATACTAATTCAGAAGCCACTGTGGATATAAGAATAGCCAGAACATATTTGTGCAACCTTTGAAAGTGTCTTATTTTTCAAAGCATTATTTTTCCACCAATCTAAAATATATAACTTATCATCATTAGGATCCTCACAACCATCAATAAAATTGTAACAACCCGACCTAACATGTTGTATATTATCCGTTTTGGGCCTTATCGTCTTTATGATTTTTTTTTTGTGATGCGAGCCCACTTTTGAGTCTGACGCTCCAAAACATGTACAACATGTTAGCAACCAGCACTACTAATAAGGCCCTAGCTTTGGACACTCGCTTCTGATATGGGATATCACAATCTCCCCCACCTTAAGATGAGTTGTCCTTAGCTCTAATATCAAATATAACAGTTCAGCCCAACATTTTGTATATTGTTCGCTTTGGGCCTTATCGCCCTCACGGTTTTGTTCTTGGTGATGCAAGCCCACTTATGAGCTTGAGGCTCCAAAACATATATAAGATATTAGCAACCAGCACTACTAATAAGGCCCTAACTCTAGACGTTCACTTTTGATATGGTATATCACATAAATACCTCTCAAACTCTTTTTTATTTTCCATACAATCTACATCCAGTAAATGTCTTTTGAATCAAGCCAAAGTATTAACATCTATCTCTATATCATCAATAACATTAACACCTTATTTATCTCTATTATTATCAATCACTTTATCAATTTTCAAATAAAACTCATACAAGCTCACCAAAGTATCTTTCATCTTATTTATTAGCAACTATGCTTTGTCATAATCATACAAATTGATTGTGCATCAAAAGTGTCATTAAGTCTCTTATTTTACATATGTATTTATTTATTTGGTTGTTTTTATAATAATTGATGTGTTTTTTTTAGTAATGAAGTTTGTTTTAATGTTTTGATAGGTTTTTGGAGCTTAAATGAATTAATTCAGAAAATTCAACGTCGGAATTCAGAACAAAGAATTGAAGAGACATTTAGTTGAAGATTGAAGCAAATCTTGGTTCAAACAAGTGCTCCAAATTTGTCCCAAAAATCAATTCTATTCCAATTCTAGAAAAGAATATCATATGATTTATTTCAAGCCCAAACTTGCCTTATGTTGTGTGCAAACTTCAACCATTAAACACTCAAGGTTTCAATGTCAATCTTAGCCCAAATAATAAGTACATTTGTATACTTATTTGATGCTCAAATTCAGCCCAAAAATCAGCCCCAAATCAGCCCTAAATCAACCCCAAATCAACCTTCAAATCAACCCAAACACAATCCATGATCTTACATGTCCACACAACAAATAACAATTGATTTATTTTGGGCAATCCATTGATCCAAGAAGGCAAGCACATGGATGGAAAGCTGGAGGGGATATTTTAACATTATTTTGGGTCAAAAAGAAGAAGGAGACACCTCATAAATGAGGAAGAAAAACGTGCACCAAAGTAGTTGTAAAGCTGTCTTGATTTGATTTTTCAGAACACCTTTCGGTGTTTTGCCCATAACTTTTGACTCAGGTGTCCAAATGAGCTGTTCTTTAATGATCTGGAAAGGTGACAGAATTGCCTATAAATATGTCTCTAATAGACTTCTCCAAAAAAAGCTTCTAAGAGGGTCGAATTGCTGTCCAAAGTTAGAGTCAGATTTGTGTCCGAATTTTTTCTGAAATTGTATTGTGTTCTTCTTTATAGATTTCGGTTCTTTAGTTTGTAAAACTTATTTTTTCAGTTGGATTCAAGTTCTTTCATGTTTATTGAAGTGTTCTTATATATAATCATGGTTGGCTAAACTCTTTCTTGGATCCAAATCAAGGATAATGGTGATTGAGGTGAGTTCTTTAGGATATGAATGAATCTTAATGTTTATCTTCTTATTTTCTTCATGAATGATTTATTATTGTAAAGAAATTTTAGAAATCATTTAGGTAATGTTATAATCTTGAATTTTTATGCACAAACTTTAGTTTTGGTATAGAGATTGCTTGATTCAATGTCTTACTTAATATGAAAGTACTTGTTCATTCTTAAGCAATAATCAATCTTCATCTTTCTAATCTTCATTGTAATATCTTTCGATCTAATATCACCATCGTTGATATTAGGTTGAGTTATCTTATATATGTTGAAGAAATCACCAATACATCACCATTAAAATTGATTTGGACCAAGACTTACTTTTTCTTGTCATTTAAAATCTATTTACATTTTTTTTTATCTTTAAAAACAAATCCATCAATTATTTTCAACCAAGTTATTGTTAATTTAATTTCTCTTGAGTTTTTTTTGTTACTTAGCTTAATTTCCATATCTAGCTCTCTGTGGATATGACATCGATCTTACCGAGTTAATTGCTATATTGCACACTCGTGCACTTGCGAGTTAAAACAAGCCGATCATAAAAAGCGGTCAAGCACAAATCACTAAAATAAAATTTCATATATTTCAACTTGAAATGTGGATCTAAAACATTAGCCACATATAACAAAAAATTATGATTTACTTCACAACCTCAATACTTCTCAAACTTTAACATCATATTTATCGTCATTCCATTTAAAAGATTATCTTTATTTTAACATAATTGCAACAAGTTTGTATCCATGTAAATCAATTTATTGAAGAAAAAATTTGATGTGATATGCAATGAGCCATAAAATCTCAATGTAACCATATAAAAGATCTTTAAGAACTTCACCAACGTTCTCGCATTTTCCCAATTATTTAAACTAAGTGGCCCTATGTTTTTTTTATTCCCCTTTGAATCAACCTTCAAAAAGTAACTTATATACCTAGATTCTTTTTCACCTAACCTCATAAACACTTTTTCAGCAGCTTCTAACATAAGATAAGTTGAATTACATCTAGTTGCAACATCTAAACACAATGATTTCTTACATTTTATATGTAACTTTTCAGCACATTTCTTAAATGCAAATTGCCTTGACGATAAAGATCTCACAAACCTAATTGTATTTTGAATCTTAACAACTGAAATATTAATCTCTTTCAAGACATCACACACAATGAGGTTTACAATGTGTGCACAACATCTAAGATGCAAATGCTTATTTGACAATATATTAGTTAGCCAATCTTTCATCATATTTTTCAAAAATGAAATAGTCACATTATTAGAGCTTGTATTATCTACTGTAACAGGCAAAACTTTATCAATCCCCTATTCTAACATATAGTTCTCAATAACTAGACTAATTATCTCACCCATATGATTGAAAACTTGACAAAAATTAAGAATTATTTTGTGTAAATTCCACTTATTATTAATCTAATGAGTTGTCAAACACATATAGTTAATATTTTGGATTGATGTCCATATATCTGTTGTTAAGCACAATCATTAACCCCTAAAAGTTATCTTTAATATGTCATTCTTTTCAACATAAAGTTTCAAACAATCTCTTATAATAGTGAAATGAGAATGAATGTCAAATCTAGGTTGCACGGTCCTAGCAAACAATTTAAATCCCCGATCATCCATAAAATTAAAAGGCAACTCAACAATTATAACCATCTTTATGAGTGCTTATTTACATTCATCATAATTATAACCTATTACTGTAAGAGTTCCTACATTTTGATTTCCCAATTCAACCTTCTCTATCTTAGGCTCTAATACTAAAACCTTTTATTTCTTATCAACCACAATATGAAACTTTTTACACACTTTTAAATGAGTCTATATATTACTTGTGTCATTAATAATAGTATGACATGCATAATATTTTTCACAATAATTACATTAAGCTCTAGAGGTTTTAGGATCAACATCAAGTTTTGTAAAGTAATCCAAAATTTATGATTTTTTTTTTATCATCAATATTTTTTCCTTAATGTAAGGACTTGAGTTTTTTTACCTTTTATATTTGGGTAGATCCTGCAATGGTTGATTCTAGGTTAGTTTTTTTGAGAATTGGTTGATGTTAGTGTAGTGCCCGTGGATGAAGCATTTTAAATTTGAAGATTTTCCATCTATTATTAAATAATGAAAACATGTTAACAACCATAATTTATAATACACTTAAATGCACTAAAAATAAAAGAAACTAATAGCAATAAATCTGTTTACAGTCAAAACTAAAATTTTAAATACGCTTAAGCTAACACATGATTTACATCTAAAAATTGGACTACACAAACTCCAATTATGAATCAACTTTTAACTCGCTGGACGCTGCCAAGACATTCAATTCCATTTTAACAGCTTGGTTGTATTCAATCCATAAATACTAATTTCTTGCTTTTAGATACAAGGAGCTGGATGATTAGTACTTAAAAGTGCATTTTTATCATGGTTTTATATCATCATTTTGCACTTGAAGTATCAATAACTCATTAACTAAAGTATGATTTATAATAATTGATTAGTACTT